AGAAGGGTGATATGTGTTGAATGGGGTCTGGAAATCTCAGACTCAGGCTTTATTCTTCCAGTGCTGGATCACACAGGATACCCCTTGTCTCCAGGTGGCAGTGTGCATGTGAAACATATTGGTACAGAAAGCCCAGAATCCGTTGGTGGTCAGGTTTTCTTACGGTGAGCTGGTCACACAGCCACATTCTAGTTACATAGCTAGACTGGGTCATTGGAAATCACCACACTCCACTGAAACCAGCTATTATTAAATGCAAGTACTATTAAATTATTGTTACTAAATCTAATCCTTAAATCAAATATTATTACTAAGCACTGTTGGCAGGCTGATAGATTCTGAACTCAAAACAACCCATAAACTCATATGTACAAAACATTATTTAGCTTTAGTTAATACAGTCAGTCTTCATTATTCCTGGATCTGTATTTTCAAGTTTGCCTGTTCACTAAAATTTATTTGTAACCCCAAAATCAATATTCATGGTGCTTTCACAGTCATTCACAGACATGAGCAAAGCAGTACAAAATTGGAATTGCCCTGTGAGCACGTTTCCAGCTGAGGTTGAGCAAGGTGATACTCTGCCTGCTTGTTTCGGCTCTCACACAAAGTCGAGCAGAGGATGGGGTGGTAGAGAGGTAGTGCAGTGGACTGCTAGAAACTCCAGCTCTTGGCCAGTTGGAGGGGTTTGAGTCCCAACTCTGGCCATTACTGGCCTCAGACTAGTCACTTAACACATCAGAACTTTGTTTTCTCTTTTGTAAAATAAATAAAATAGAATCTACTAAGATAAATTGTTTTAAGATTTAAGATTATGATTTGTAACTATGTTAAGTATGTATGTGTGTGTATGTGTGTGTGTGTGTGTGTGTGTGTTTCCCTAGGGGCAATGGATCTTTGTTTTCTAATTCACTGTTTGCAATGACTTTATGGAACATAACTATGATGAACACTGCCAATCAACTGAATTGGACAGGCTCTACACAGCTTGGAGATTAGCATGCAGTCAATCCAAGTCAGCTGAGATTTACACTTGCCTGCACTACATGAAAGATTTTCACATAGATTTAATGATGGATATAAAGATATTATTTAAAAAACAAACAAACAACCACACAAAGCCCTTGCCCTTGAGTAAGATATTCAGTGTGTGTGTTGGGGGGAAGGGGAAGTTGGATTTAACAATAAAACAAAAACAAAAACAAAGCAAGGTAGGAGAAAACAGGTGATATGAAAAAGACAACACATAACAACATGTGCAAAGTTAGAAGTCAGAGACTTCCTGCTGGGTTCCACCTCCCCATCCATCATGTATTTATTGAATACCTGTCGCCTTCCAACCTGCATTAGAGCCATTTTTATGTGACTTATTCCTTTATAATATTGTAGGTGTTTGGGAGCAGTGACTGGATTGTACTTGTCTTTAAATTTAAATAACATTTAGCACAAAAGCTTATACTGTGCAGATACCCAATGAATGTTTGTTGATGGAATGAAAGATTGATGAATGTGGCCACCCACTGTGATTATCTAATGTCCCAGACAGTTCTCTCTCCTCCCTCTGTAATCATCACTTTGGTCTGGGTCTTTCAGGAACAAACTAGTTGATAAACCAGTTATGATAAATTAATGCAAGTGCCATAATATATTCCCATTTATGTATTTTTAAGTGTTTTTTATTTTATTCCTCAGTGTGACAACACATGCTTTAACCCAAAGGGAGAAATAATGGAGGAATTCCTGAGCTAGTTTCTCCACTAACTTCAAAATCAGATGAAGTGATTCCTGTGTGGATTAATGGGCTCATCTACTTGCCTGCTCTGCTGAGTAAGGCTTTCCCGACCTTGTTATTTTAATGTATCTATTTCAAAACTTTCCAAACATACAGGGAAATACAGAGAATTCCATAACAAAGGTGTGCGTGTGTGTGTGTGTGTGTGTGTGTGTTATGGCCCAACACTATCAAACACTAAGATATGTAAAACTTAATTAATTTATGGTTCTTAAGGCCTCACCACAGGTTATCCATCTTAGGTGCCAATTAATTAATTATGTGAATTAATTAATTAATAGCTAAAACTAATTTTAGCCTCTTTCCTCCTTACCCAGGGATGACAAATATCTTGTTAATACATATTTATATACCTGTGAATAATATATGGTATTTCTTTACTTATTTTTAAGCTTTATTTAATAGCATTTTACTGTACCTAATCTTCTGCAACTTGCTTTATTAAAATTTTTTGATATTTATCTATGTTGATATATTTAGGTTGAGGTCCTCTATTTTCACTGAAGTACAGAATTCCAATTTGTGAATATATCATAATTAATTTATCAAGATCTATTAGTGAACATTTAGGCTATTATGAAGTAGGGATTTTGTTGTTGTTCTTACCAATTCAGTTATTTTAACATATACAGTCCATCACTGCATTCACTGTAAAGTTAAAAAAGTAAAAAATGTAACATAATTAAATCTAAACTTTTAATAAGAACTTAAATTTCTCTGTTTCTGTGAAATTGTCAGAGTATTTACCTAGACTCTATCCTCTGAAGGAACACAAAATACTCATACAATTCAATTTAAAATGTACTAGGGTCAGTTTTTTCAAGTGCTAATAGTAGAGTAAAAGACTATATCATATACAGTGATCAAGAGGATGGCCTTTCTGTCATATGCCACTGGGCTCCTGGATCTACTATTGATCAGCTAATCAGCTGAGAGACCCTGGCCAAGGGTCTCATGGTTCCTCATGAGTAAAAAGGGGATAACTGTTGAATACATATTCTAGGTTGTTGTAAATGAGATGTAAAGGCATAAAAGCCAAGGGTTTGGTATATACTAAGGAAGCACCAATAAATGGGGGGG